AGCATTTATGGACATTCATGAAATAAACCAGAACACAGCATTTCAGTTTCAAATCAAACTCTCATCTGATTTAAACTCTCTCTTTCAAAAGTGCAACTGAATACAATTTTGTCTTTTTAAGTATCCTAAATAGAAATGCAACCACTTAGTGACATCTTTTTTTTTTTCTTTTTTTTTTTTTTTTTTTTTTTTTTTTTTTTTTTTTTTTTTTTTTTTTTTTTTTTTTTTTTTTTTTTGGCTGGGTTTATATTTCTTGAGATCAGCTTTTGTTGCTTCCAAAGGGGTGGTGAGCTACTCTGCTCCCACCTCTGAGATACTGATCTTGAAGTCTAATTATGCTCTTTGCTTCTTTCTTGGTTGTTCCCTGCTACAGTGATGACAAATTTAGCAAAAAACTTCCAGCTGTGCTGAGACTGTGGAAGGAGTTGAGGTTGTGGTTAGAGCTTGAATTGTATGTAACCTCTTATTTCCTACCCTGTCTGGCTTTGAATGACAGCTATGCAAATTATATGCATACACTTTTTACTCTGGGTTGGCTTTACGGGGGCTTTCACTGCAGTAGATGGACTTTAAGCAAATAATTTTAAGCTGGTAACTTTAATCAATGTAATTTTTTAATATATTTTTCCTTGCAAAACCAGGTTCTTCAATGTCACTTGTAATTCAGCACTAGTTAAATACTGCCAGTTTCCTAGGGAAGACATGCTATTGTTTAAATCAGAAATGTGAATACAAATGTAATGCAATATCCTGTCTACCAAACCTGTGGGACCTGCCGATGAACAACTCCTAATCAAGCTGCAAATGCAACCTAGCTTCCATTCTTCCTCCAATTCCTGAAAAGAAAGATTTGCACAAAGAATGGGGCTCTTAAAACCTTGTCTGAAACCAGTTGTAATGAAAGTCAGCTACTGTAGCTCTATAGCTCTGGACCTCTGTGCCTTCAGAAATTACAAGCCCCATTCCTACTGACTTTTTAAAATTAATATTTAATAGTAGTAAAAGCATGATTTCCATGCAAGAAAGAACCCTCAGAAGAGGGTTTCTTCCTAACAAACTCTTTATTTTGAGATAATTCAGAGCACTTGTCTGTCACTGTTGGATGCTGCCCAGAGCCATGGCCAGACCATAGCACCCTATAGCATCTCTTGGTTTCTGGAGTCAAGTGAACCCCTTGTTCTCTCCCTGGTGTGTGTGTCCTGCACATCCCTTATCCAGCTTCATATCCCAAACCCCGGGGGCACCCAGCACCATAGAGTGAACCAAAACACCTTTGTCTCCCAGTCCAAGCACAACTGTAATAATTTCTGTGGTTTATACTTACCTTCTAAAAGCATAAATAACTGCTGTCAGCGCCTGGGTCTGTGAGGCAGTACAGCAGAGTGCTAATGAGACCTGCTCCTTGCTGCCAGCTCTGTGTGGGCCAATAGGTGTTAACCTGAGTTCTAATCTGCTGGCAATGAACACCTTATTATATAGCTGTGCCTAAGGGCTCGGCAGGTTTGTGCACCAACAGCATGCTCAGGTAGAAGCTGAACTTGTAGGTGAGCATTTAGGAGAGAAAAAACAGTTCTCAGTTTCTGCTGATTGCCACTATCTACACATAGATGTACTACTACTGTTCTTGCTGGGATGAGCTGGAGGATATTTCTGTTTGGATGGAGAAGTGGAAAGAAAAAGAGAGAAAAGAAGTATCAGCCCCCAAAATGTGCTTCATAAAAATGTGCATACACCACACATTAGATGCTTGTACCACAAACTGGTTTGGTACTGATCCTGTCAGCTCTCCTTTGCTATTCCAAGGATATTAGTATGAAAGGAAGATACAAGGGACACAAATCTTTCATTTTGTTGCTTTTATCAGGCCTATTTTAATCTGCTTGCCTAAATTAGCCACAGGTGCTGTTAGTCAGCAGCACAATATCAATTGCTGTGAGCAGGGCATGGAGGCTTTAAGTCCTGTATCTGAAGAAAGGCACATTAGCATGAGAGATACAGGGAGTTTATTAGATACTGATACTCCAGCTCTATTAGTAATCTAGTCACCAGCTCCTGTGTTCTCCCCTTGTTCTACAATTTCACACACTCCTGCTATTGTGTCTGTTGCACCTCTGATTCACAGATCTTCTCCTTTCAACTTCAAATTACCTTCACAGAGTAACTCCTGGTAAGAAAATCTTTTAAACCTATTTAATAAGACTATGGCCAGTGCAAGTGGGGGGCAACTGATGTTTAAGGGTAAAGGAATAAAGGAAATTTTAGTATAAAGAGAACACATGAAAACTCTTAAAAAGAAATTGCTAAAGATGTTGCACAAGTGACTTACTGCACACATCTGTGGTTTTTTAAATTGTCTTTTACATTTTCCAACAGTATTTTAATTAAAGGCTTTATTAGCAAGTGTCTCATTATGAAAGACTGATATTTTTTATTATTTTCCATTTCATAATTTTTACAAGTGACTTTCTACAAATGTTTTGCTCTAAAAGTTATTCTGGGAGAAAGCAAGAAGGAAGTAACAGTGTTAAATCAGTCATGCAAAAGGTGTGATGTGAGGCATAGCTTGTTTTAATGAATTTCGTTCACTAAGTGAGTCTAATTTCTGGTCACAATTTTGGTGTATTGATTTCCAGCCCCACACTTGCCTGGTAAACAAGATCTCATCACAGACCCTGGTTTGTGTCAGTAAGTCCTTTCTGCTCAGGCAAATCAAATATTTTACTCTCCAGGTCCTCACAGCTTTCGTGCTCAATTGCATGCAAGCCTCTAAAGGAAGAGGCTCACAGCTGCAGGGCAGGGCAGAGCCTGAAGTGGCTCCTGTCCCCATCGGCGCTCCTGAGATGTGGCTCCTTTTCCCAGGTCCCTGTGCCAGCTGTCTGCAGCTGCACAGCTTCTCTCTGCACCTGCACAGTGTCAGCCTTGATTTGTTCTTGGGCTGTAGCACAAGGGGGCACGAGGAAGGCTGGCTGCAGCAGAAGGATGCTCAGGGCAAGCCAAGCTGTGTTCTGGTTCCCAGGCTGCTCTAAGGATGTCTCTCAGCTCACTCTGTGCTCACACCTAGGCTGCTGGGTTGATGGAGATCTAGCCTTTGCTTTTCCACAATGCTCTGAAGATGTTATATAATTTTCAGCTGTAGCAATCAAGCCACTGAGCAACTGGACCCAACATTTTAAATTTAGATCTGATGGGGAAGACAAAGTTCTGAATACAAAGTGACTGCTGCTGCTCAGTTGCTTGTGGACTTAGACTGCTGCCTTTAGGTGCCTTTGCAGGTTGCTTGAAAAGTAACATAAGCTATAAGAAAAATCTCCATACAACCTCAAAAATAAGAATAAGCTCCTGTTCCCACCAGTTTAGCCCATCAGTCACTGCTCTTCATCATTCTTGTGGCCAGCTGTCCCAATGACTATACTGTGTGTACTGAGCCAGTGCTGATGTCTCAGCTGTAAGTAACACCCAGCAAGGGAGCACTGCATATATTTAAAGTGTGTAAGGACCCAGCAGATATTGTGCCAAGATTGGATTTTTGTGCCTATCTGAGATCTCCTCCTTGGAGGATTTGTTCTTGAGTGTTGTATAACACCTTCCTTCTGCACTGACCTCTGAGATAATGTGCATCAGGAACGTCATATTGTCAAGAGACCCAGGCAGCGGCTTGGGAGTTAGTACAAGGGCACAAGAATAATGGCATTATTTCCAATCAGAAAATTTCTAAATTTAAGTAATTCTATTACTGAATCCAACAGAACACTGTGCAGCTTGGCACCTTATGCAGGGTGTGCACCTACATAAGATTCTGTTCATAATAGGAATCAATAAGGTTCAAAGAAAAAGCTGGAAAAAATCTCCATGAGCATGTGGAAGGGAATACTAAATGTTTAGTGATATTTTTAGGTGATCTCTTGATTTCAAAGTTCTTTTTACTCTACATATCCTTCCCTAACAAAGTGAAATAGTAAGTGACAACCTGAAAAAAACCCACAGGTATGGGAAAAATTTATACAACATGATGATACTAGATCCACAGACTATAATACAAAGGGACACAGTCCTTGATTTAAAACTAAGCCCTCCCTGTGAGGCTGTCGGTGTGAGCACCAGAATGTGGAGCAATTGTGTGCAGCTGAACATAAAAGAAGTCCTTAAAATAATCCTTTCTCACACAACTGCCACCAAAAGTACTGTCAACAAAGGAAACTGCTCTGCTGAGTGGGATGGTTCCTTCTTCCAGCCTCTGTAAGTAAATGTGGCATCAGTGGGTCTGTTGTAAGCAAGCCTGTCAGTACCTGCAAGGTGACTGTCTGTGCCTTAGAACACAGAAGTAAAAGCCTGCAAAATTAAGACAGAGTAAATTCTAACATTTCCCAGGAGTGTCTGGCTTTGCAGCTTTAGCAGTGCTGGTACAGGGCAGGGCTTTTTTTCTTTTATGGTAATAAATTTGATTCAGCATTTACAATCAGGAAGTTCTAAAAGTAAGGATGCCAAGTCACTCCCAGAAAAAAAAAATTAAATCGGGTTTTCCTATCCAAACAACAGGAAGATAAGCCAAAACTAATAATGGCAGTGGTGGTTTCTGTCTTGTGTTTCTATGGTCAAAAACGGGAAACTGTTTGACATTGATAAAACTGCTCTTGAAAAGTTGTCATCAAAGGTCTAAATTATTCATTTGAAAGCACCGTTACTAAATGCATACTAAACAGGAGCCAGGCTCTTAAAAGACAGGCAAAGAAATACTGGGTTTGCATGTTTTCTCTTTGTTGATTTTTTCTACAGTGGAAAGAGAAAGAGTAATGATGTGCTGGTTTTTACACTGCATTAACTAATCATAGACATTAAAGGCAAAATAACCTATTATTTTATTTAAGTCTTCCCCTAGCTGTTGTCATGGCTGACAAATCCAGCTCTTTTTAAACACAGTTTTGCAAACTGCTCTTTCCTTGTACAAGCATGCATCACAGCACAAAACCACCGTAAAATAATGAGTAACAGAATTCCCTTACCTGTCTAGGCCATGTGTCCTTGCAACATCAAAGGTCATGTTGAGTTGAGAGATCCTCTGTGAGGGATGCTTTTATTTACTGTAAATGCAATTTTCTCTCGCTCTCATCCGCAAGCCCCTCTCCATCAGGCTTCTCCCGTAGTGTCTGCAAAACACAATGCATCCAGTGTGAGCACATGCTGTGTTGCAAAGGTAGAATCACATGGAGTCACCTGGATTTTATTAAAACAGGAGTCCAAGTAGACTCACTGTGATAGAACGCTGCATGTGTGAATGTTTTTGCTTTCGTACTTTACACACCGTGCCAATATTGGGGGGTGGGAGGTGACAAGTAATATATTTTTCACTATCCCCAACTGTTTTAGCTCTAAAGGGAAATCATGAAAAAAGCAGACTAGCAGAAGTCACTCATTGCATGAATTATACTTAATCACATCATGAAGAAAGGGCTTTTTATATGCTAAAATCAAAAGAGGATTTGATCTCAGTCTAGGGTGATGAAATGTGAGCACAGATCTAACTTAATAACTGAGACCACCAATATGTGCCCATTTATATGTTCTTAGGACACCTATGACCTGATTCCTGCTTTGTATTCCTTCCCTGAGGAAGCAGGACAAGGTTGCTGAGAGCACCCAGGTGACCCAAGGCAGCAAGGGAGATGATCTCTCAGCTGATGGGATTAAAACTTGACTGAGAGAAGGGTGACATCAACTATTTCCCAGTCCCCCTCTTCCTTTTTGAGTCCCAGAGGATGACTTTCTTTCCAAGGGTCAAAAACACCCTGAGACCAGTTCAGACAAAAAACCTAAGCTTACAACTCACATAGCCTGGGGACTCATTTTTCATTTTGAAGTGTCAATGTGACCTTTTGCATCCACCACTTTGGGCAAGGAAGGGCAGAGATTCACCCTGTAACTGAAGCACCCCACTGCTGGCAGCTTTCAGGACTAAAAGCAGGGAGCACGTACAGAACTCTCCAATAAATGCAAACAGACTGCTCTTCTCTGATGGGAAAAAGAAATCTCTGAAGTATTGCTGCACCTGAGGTTCCTGAAAACACTTCTTAAAACTACTTACTTGGGCAAACATTTGCTTACTTAAGTGAAAATGACACATCAAAGCCTAATTCTGTCAGCTCTTGATTTTCTAGTACCTAAGAACCCAGGATGAATTAATACTGTAGTAGAGGAATATGACTTCTACACTTCTATGTTTCATTATGTTAGCATAGCATTCAAAGGAATTATTTTCTGGGTTTAATTTTGTGTGTATTCCCTTGCTCCCATGTAAACATGAGGCACAATTGCACCATTTAATGGCTAAGAAAAGAAAGGCAACACCAGGAAAGCTGGTTTCTCACCTATGTCTGATTGCCTGGAGTTCTAAATTAATTATCTCACTTAAGGGAAAATGGATGTTGAATGGGGAATAAAGCACAGCTGTTGAAGCAGGAAAAGGTTTTAGAGGGGGGAAAAAAAAGGTGCACTTTGGGGTAAACAGATTTGTAAGGCAGCATTGCCCTTGCATTTGGACTATTGGGATAAATTCAGCACTGACATAGTGGACATATCAGAGCTTGGGGGAGATGCCATGGGTCAACCCTGCTCTGCAGCCCATGGGATTTCAGAGAGCAATACCCCATATAAACATATTTATGTGTTTAGACAAACCATTTGATAATATTCTTAGACAACGCTTCTGGCACTGTACTGCTCCTGTTTAATCTCAGTCAGCACCAACCACTTAAAAAGTCTGCATAGTTTACCTGAACTGAATTAAAACAGGCCTTTTTCATTCTGGGAAAATAATTTTTGTTTCTCTCTCCGTGTCTCATAGTCACAGCATCTGAATCACCACTTGAAAAGAGAATCAAATGTAGGCCAAGTGATTAGCAGAGCAGAGCAATGATGGATTCTTCAATTTATGGCTCCCCAGATATGATAAAAGGAGAGGGGAAGTCTCACAAAAAGGGGAAAAACAATTTTTTTTGTTAAGCATGCAAAGTTTGGAAAAAAAAAATCTTTTAAGGCTTACAATTCCTGTGAATATTGTAGCACTGAGTTTCATGCTAACTTTTGAAGCAAAGAGTTTTCAAAACTGGAAAAGTTCACATTACTAAGATACAAGTGTGTTCCTTCCTCTCTGCCTCTCCAATGTTTGTTAATCTATTACCCACCTTAAAGAAAGATTCCTGTTCCTCCTTGGATCTGAGCAGAAAATCAATTAACTATAGTATTAATGAGGCCTTATTACAGGTTCTCCCCTGCCTGTGGTTGTCTTCACCGCCCTTTTCTGCCATTATTTAACTAGGCATATGAAAAATCTTATCTATTCCTTTCTTTCATCAAACATTGCTGATTAGAGCTCCTGCTTTTTATGACTTTCCTGATACACATAATTTTAGATTAGAGTGTTTGGAACAGGCCAGCTTAATGAGGAACTGCTGGGACACAATCTCATACTAGCATTGTCAGTGCTCTTTAATGGTATTCATTCAGGATTATTTGTGATGGAGATAGATTTTAGATTCAGGGGGTTCCTTCTTCATTACGGGCATCCAAAACATCTTCAGTGATATTCCTTCATGGGATATGTGAAGAAGGATGAGATTTCTCTCCTCAGTGTCTTATAAATCCAGCACAACTCAAAGTCATCTCCTGGGGTCAGACATCCAAGTAATTCTTTTACTCCAAAACTTTGCCTTTCAGTGCCAGACTGGGAGTCTTGTTGGCACCTGCTTGGGAGGGAGCTGGCCAAGGCTGCAGCCTGTGCTCGGGATCAGGGCTTTGTAGCTGGGATAAGGCTTTGCACCTTGATACAACTCTCCAGCTGCTCCACCTGCTTCAGGCTGTCATGGATCAGCTACAGCTGAGTTACATTCGTGGCTCAGGAGGTGCAAATCTCATTGCTTGACCTCAGGTCTGGCATCTGGACAGGAAATTGTCTCCCACGTAGAAGATCGTATTGGGATGATTTGAGTTATCTATCCTAATATACAGCTCCCAGCCTGACTAATATGAATTATCCCCACTTTATGCCTCTGGCAGTCTTTCTTCTGCTGAAGGCACAACAGAGTGCTGGCAGATCTATACAGGTTGATCAATAAAGGCTTTTGGCACATGAACAGGCTCTGGAGAAAGAAAAGAGAGTATTTGTGCTCTAGGCAAAGCCTCCTTTTCCAAGCTTTGTGTATGAAACCAGGTCTTTGACTGGAATATTGCTAAAACCTGGACTAACCGGAGGTATTAGAACAGATTGGGACCCTAAAATTTAGATTTTTGGAAGAGCTGAATGAAGCATGAAGAGGAGCAGTGATGGAGAAGGAAGGGGGCAGAGGAATATGTACAAGTACATGAGGATTTTGGGGAGGCCAGCCAAAGGAAGCAAGCCAAGCCTGCCTGCTCCTGCTTCTGGATTGTGAGCTCAAAATCCATGGCATGTCCAAGGCCTCAGGCTGGAAAAGGGTGGTTACAGGACAGAAGAAAACCCCAGTGGGAGGAGTATTCTTCTGACTTTTTGGAACAGGGGCATCTTTCAAGGCTGTAATACTGTCACTATTCCAGAATTGATGCAAAGGGCAAGGAAATAGGGAAAAATCAGAAACCAGGAATGCTGGAAGAGGAGGCTGAAGTCTGATGCAGCAAGACTGCAGCACAGGGAATTGAGCTGGGAGAGCTCACTGTGGGCAGGAATTACAAGACGTCCATGCACTTCAGAGAACAAATAAACACAATTGCCATCACCCATGAACACATGCATTTTTTTTCTTCCCACGTGGTATAAAGACCTTTTGTAACTATTTAATTTAAACCAGTGAAATTGGAGCAACATAAAATTTATTTCTCTGGGTCCTGCTCTGTAAGCATCAATTATAATGTCTAATCTACATGAAGTGCTGCTAAGTTTAGTAACCAGCTCTTTATTATGCAGCACCCAAAAGCATTCAAATATATTCACATTAAGATGTAAGATCACACAAATGTTAATTGTAGAAACATCCAAGTGCTAACAGTTGTTTTTTTGCCTCCTAAGGCTATAAACAGCTATTTTGATCGGATTGCCACGTTCCTCTAAAATACACACTTTCAAAGAGAAATTTCTCAGTCGGACAGTGAGCACAAAGCAATGTACTGTCAGGAAGGAGAGAAAGCTTAGAGGCATAGCCTTTATTTATGACAATGACACTGGAATTCAAGGTTTGATGCTTGCTGTGAAAGAAATTCGCTTGGTGGCAGAGGAAGGAGGGATGCATTGCTGTGAACATGTAAATCATTTATGCACTCAATTAAAAATTTACTCAACACCTCCAGTTTTTGCCTGAGATGTGATTGGGAAAAAAAAGCTGAAAACTGCTGCCTCTCCTCCAAGGTCATGGATCTTGTAATTTGAAGGATTATTTGATTTTATTCTATATTTGACACTTTATTGGCCTCTCAATTGGTTTTGGAATAAAATTGTGTGTCCTTTTGACTTCCTTTTCAGTTTTCTCTGCAGCCTAATGTTTTTTCCCCCTATAGCAGATTATTTTGTACCTCTTTCCTCAGTATTACAATTTTTGACACCTCTTACCTTTTATTGTGTCTTCTCTTTCTCTCTTATTATTTGTTCCTCTGTGTCCATTCATTCCTTTGCTTGTGCTGATTTCCCCCAAAAGTAATCATTGCTGTCATAGCTCACTTATTAGTCTCTCTCTTTCTTCACTTTAATTCATGTTCAATTCTCCTGACTATTTTCTTGTTTAGGGGGCCTTAAAAGGACCACTGAAACAAATCATAAAAACAAAAAACACCATCCAGAAAACGAAAGGAATAATATGGTACATAAACTCATTTCAGCAAGGATAAATAATTAAAAAAATAAAGTGTGAATATGAAAGAGATAATCTTATCACTTAAAGCAGTTTTGATTTTGTATGAAAGAAGAGCTGACACATATTGTAATACATAATCTCATAAGGTACAGTGCACCTCAGCTAGAATCACAGCATATTGCAAAGGATGTTTTCTGAAGGCATTTTGTATCGCTATCTCTTTTTCTTTTGATGATTTGACCTTTTAATAGGTCATGGCTAGGGAGGCTGTTTCTGTCCCTTCTTTTGTACCCTAAGTTTATGACCCTACCCCTCTCTTACAGCTTGG